GGGAGGCTTCGCGCGGCTACCCCTTCGCTTGTGGGGGAAGGGACAGAGCGAGGCTCTCTCACTTCCCCCACCTCCCGCAAAAGCCCCCAAGAACCACATATTTTTTTTCTTGAACCCCCCCCCCTCAAAAAAAGTAGATGCGCCTTATGGTCGGGTTCGCCTTATGGAGCAAAAAATACGGTAGCTATAGTGGCTGTGTTAGGAAGCTGCCTCGTATTTCGAGTCAGGACATTGGGCATATCTAGCCCAGGGCTGTCTGCACGGACTGGCAGCCTCTCCCAGTGGTACCTGGAGATGTCGGGGATTGAACCTAGAAACTTTCGTATAAGAATAAAAATACTAATTAATAATCATAATCATAATCATAATAATTTATTTATTTACACCAGGCTCCCTCAACTTCGGCCTTCCAGATGTTTTGAGACTACAATTCCCATCATCCCTGACCACTGGTCCTGCTTGCTAGGGATCATGGGAGTTGTAGGCCAAAAACATCTGGAGGGCTGAGGTTGAGGAAGCCTGATTTATCCCCGCCCATCTGGCTGGGTTTCCCCAGCCACTCTGGGCAGCTTCCAACAAAAGATTAAAAATACATTAAAACATCAGTCATTAAAAACTTCCCTAAACAGGGCTGCCTTCAGATGCCTTCTGAACGTCAGATAGTTGTTTATTTCTTTGACATCTGATAGGAGAGCGTTCCACAGGGCGGGTGCCACCACCGAGAAGGCCCTTTGCCTGGTTCCCTGTAACTTTGCTTCTCACAATGAGGGAACTGCCAGAAGGCCCTCGGCGCTGGACCTCAATGTCTGGGCTAGACAATGGGGGTAGAGACACTCCTTTGGGTATACTGCACCGAGGCTATTTAGGGCTTTAAAGGTCAGCACCAACACTTTGAATTGTGCTTGGAAACATAATAATAATAATAATAATAATAATAATAATAATAATAATAATAATAAAATTTATTATTTATACCCCGCCCATCTGGGCGGCTTCCAACTGAATATTAAAAACAATACAGCATCAGACATTAAAAACTTCCCTAAATAGTTGTCTTTTGTTGTCAGCTGTCAGTTGTCTTTTAAAAGTAAAATAGTTGTTTATTGCCTTGACATCTGCTGGGAGGGCATTCCACAGGGCGGGTGCCACCACCAAGAAGGCCCTCTGCCTGGTTCCCTGTAGCTTTGCTTCTCGCAATGAGGGAACCACCAGAAGGCCCTCGGCCCTGGACCTCAGCGTCTGGGCTCAGCAATGGGGGTGGAGACACTCCTTCAGGTATACAGGATATATATACAGAGATGTATAAAAGAGGGTGCTCCACCTCTGAGCCACAGCACTTCCCCTGACGGTTCTGCCTCCTCTGTCAACTCAAATGACATCATTCTTGCACTTGGCTCCTCCTTTCGGGCTTCTTCGAGGTATCTGGCCACTAGGAGATGCTGGACTACACGGGTCTTTGGTCTGATCCAGCGCAAGATTTCTCCTTTTGCAGTTGACCACTTCAAATTGTAGCGCGGGGCTTCTGTGAGTCAGTGCTCTTCTGTGGGGATGAGTGGAAGGAAGCCAGCGTGTCAGGGAGAATATAAGACTAGCAGGATTTTTCTTCCTGTCCTCTAGCTTTATCTGGAAAGGTGCATGCAGGTGTGGGCATTCAGTCACCTGGCTTACTAGTTCTAAATGTGGCTTGCTAGCAGTACATGGGTAAAGGGATCTAGGGGTCTTAGTGGATCACAAGCTGGACATGAGTCAATCGTGTGATGCAGCAGCAAAAAAAGCTAACGCTATTCTAGGCTGCATCAACAGAAGTCTAGTGTCCAGATCAAGGGAAGTAACAGTCCCACTCTCTTCTGCCTTGGTCAGACCACATCTGGAGTCCTGTATCCAGTTCTGGGCGCCACAATTTAAGAAGGATGTTGAGAAGCTGGAATGTGTGCAGAGGAGGGCAATTAAGATGATCAAGGGTCTAGAAGCCAAGCCTTATGAGGAACAGTTGAAGGAGCTGGGTATGTTTAGCCTGGAGAAGAGGAGACTGAGAGGAGAGATGATAGCCATCTTCAAATACAGTGGTACCTCAGGTTACATACGCTTCAGGTTACATACGCTTCAGGTTACAGACTCCGTTAACCCAGAAATAGTGCTTCAGGTTAAGAACTTTGCTTCAGGATGAGAACAGAAATCATGCTCCAGTGGCGCGGCGGCAGCAAGAGGCCCCATTAGCTAAAGTGGTGCTTCAGGTTAAGAACAGTTTCAGGTTAAGAACGGACCTCCGGAACGAATTAAGTACTTAACCCGAGGTACCACTGTATCTAGAGGCTGTCACATGGAAGATGGCACAGGCTTGTTTTTTCCTGCTCTGAAGGGCAGGACTCGAACCCGTGGCTTCAAATTACGAGAAAGGAGATTCTGACTATGATTCTATGTGGACCCCCACTTGTAATCTGAATAGGTGCAGGCAAACTCATTCCTTCAATAGTTTGCGTTGCAGTCTCTTTAAAGGGGATTCCGGCATAGCTGAGCAGGACTTCCTTTGTTGCTTTAGCTGAAGAAAACCTGGGCTAAGTCTCGCAAGGAGGTCTGTTGTCACAGTGCCCTGGCAATTCCCCCCAGATCTCTCCTGGCACAGGACACACACACACACACACACACACACACACACACACACACCATGGTGGGTTAGCTTCTCTCTGCTTTGGAGAAATCCAACTGCGCTTTGCTGTAATGAAATAACCCCCCCACCCCAATTTTTCAAGGCAAAGCAAGAAAATGAACGGGCCATAGAGAATCTACCAGAGCTAACATGGCAGAGAGATTCTGCAGGCTACCAATTGCCAGCAGCCCAGCTTTAATGGTGATGATAAGGTTTGCTTTTGTTCTTCTGGGTCTTATTTAATCAGCCTGTCTCGTTTCTGATTTTCCCTATCTGCGCACTTCATCGTATGGCTTTCATGTCCAGGCTCCAGCTGCAGGAAATCTTGTTAAAATTGCCTTGTTCAAACACCCGCACGCCCGCCTGCGTTCCCCAGGGTTTGCAATATGTATGGATGGGGTGCAAGTCCGGGGAAGTCGGGGAGGGGGGAGAGAGAGAGAGGATATCAAAGGGTTCCTGCTCCTGTGTATTTTATAATTCATTGCATAGCTAAGCTGCCGAATACATTTGCACTAACAAGCTCGGAGAGGGAATTTGTATAAAAGGGATAGCCACGGCGACACTGGAGGGGCTGGGCTTCCAAAGGATTTCTCGGAGTATTCTAATAATGTGCCCCGTCTTTCTGTCTCCTCATCTCATGCTGCCGAATCCTTGCAATTTTACAATCGGTTTATTTTTTGCTCTTTGGAGAGGCCCCAGAATAAAACCATTCTTAAAAACATCGGATTTCAACAAAAAGCCTAGCGGGGAGGAAATCAGGTTGTAGCCACAACAGCATGAAGGGCCAATAACAAGGTCTAAATAAAAACACCTTCGCCTGATGCCAGAAAGATGTTGGCTCTGGGGAGATGGTCACATTTCTCCCACGGTTTCTTGCAAGTGAGGTCAGGCATGCGATGGTGCAGAAAAGTAGCCTAGTTGGACAAAGGGCTTGTTTGGTAAACAGGGAATGCTGGGTTCAGATCCTGGTGGTGTCTGTTGGTTGGTTTGGGCTCAGCTCAGCTCAGTTTGGAAGCACCTGCTTTGCATTGCAGTGTAGCCTCATTAGACTTTACCGATTGGTGGGGTCTGCGTTGCTCCCGGACGGGAGGAAGGAAGTCAAATGACACCAAGGTCTGGTTCACAGAAAGAGTTTATTCTGCTCTCCGGATAGCAGAAGGCACTTGCGTGGTCAGTCCACAGCAAGTCCAAAGAAATGAGAGATTCCATGCAGTATATATATCCTCCAGGCACCCTCTCCCCCCCTTCCCCAGGAATCCAGCCACGTGAGCTTATACACGTAAGTTGACATCACAGATGTTCCTGTTCCTGTACTCTTAACCATAAAAGGATGTTCCTGTTCCTGTATTCCTTATCTTGGGGTAAGAAGGTCACCAACTCGAAGAGCACCCCTGGCACCGTTCCCAGGGGGCTGACAAGGTCTGTGCGCCAGTGTGGTCAGGATGTAAGATAAGACCCAGATGTGTCATCCCTGCTCCACTTTGGAACTGGCAAGGCCATTCATTAGGAGTCACAGACTGATAAAGGAGAGAGCTTGGTTTATACAGCTGGGTTCCTGTGATACATTTGCTCAAGAGCTCAAGTTAATGTTTTTTAGCTAATGCACCCTTGGAGAAGGAAAAATGGAAATTTGGGGCCCGTTTCAGACTGACTGCACAGTCAGATTTTAGATTTGGGAAACCCATTCCTTCAGCAGAATAATAATAATAACAATAATAATTTATTATTTATACCCCGCCCATCTGGCTGGGCCTCCCCAGCCACTCTGGGCGGCTTCCATAAAAACCACAAATACAGTAAAATATCACACGTTAAAAACTTCCCTGAACAGGGCTGCCTTAAGAAGTTGCACAATTCAGTTCCTGGCATCTTCAGGTACGACTGGGAATGTATGCTGCCTGCAGCCCTGGAGAGCAACTGCCAGTCAGTGCCTGCATTACTGAACTAAGTGGACCCAATGGCTTGACACGGTATAAGGCAGCTTCCTCTGTTCCTAGAGGAATAAGAAAACTCTTGCATCACTCCCAGGGCAGGAGCATCTCTTCCTGGGGAGATTATCATATTTTTCGCTCTATAAGACGCACCAGACCACAAGACGCACCTAGTTTTTGGAGGAGGAAAACAAGAAAAAAAAAATACTCTGAATCTCAGAAGCCAGAACAGCAAGAGGGATCACTGCGCAGTGAAAGCAGCAATCCCTCTTGCTGTTCTGGCTTCTGGGATAGCTGCACAGCCTGCATTCGCTCCATAAGACGCACACACATTTCCCCTTACTTTTTAGGAGGGGAAAAGTGAGTCTTATAGAGCGAAAAATACGGTACCTAACGTCTCGGATTCTGTCTCTTGCTTGTAGATTCTTCGCCGGAAGCCCAACCCAAATACATCAAAGGTGGGAAGCGCTATGGGAGGCGATCTCTGCCGGAGTTTCAGAAATCCGTGGAGGACTTTGCGGAGGTGACGGTGATCGAGCCTCTGAATGAGGAAGCCCAGCCATCTTGCATCTCCAACAATGACTGCGAGGAGGTAAAGGATTTTAATAGCAACCTTGGTGGATAAAGAGAGTCAAGATGGGAGCTCAGATTGAAAGAGGGAGTGTGTGTGTGTGTCCCTGTCCCTGTGTGCATTTAAGGTAGTTTATGGTCTCCATAAACTTAAACTCTTAAGCTGAGGCTCCAAGACTTTGGTCACCTCATGAGAAGAGAAGACTCCCTGGAAAAGACCCTGATGTTGGGAAAGATGGGGGGCACAAGGAGAAGGGGATGACAGAGGACGAGATGGTGGGACAGTGTTCTTGAAGCTACCAGCATGAGTTTGACCAAACTGCGGGAGGTAGTGGAGGACAGAGGTGCCTGGTGTGCTCTGGTCCATGGGGTCACGAAGAGTCGGACACGACTAAACGACTAAACAACAACAACAACAACATGGTCTCCAATTGTTGTGTCAAGTTTATCACCCTGTTGACAGAACTATTTAAACCCCCTGGAGACCTGCCTCTTTATATGGGGGTTTGCTTGTTTCTGACATGATTGGTCTTGAGCAAAAGCATATAGAAGAGGCTGCCTCACTAGGGGAATCATATAATTGTAGTGTTGGAAGGGACCCCAAAGGCCATCTAGTCCAACCCCCTGTTATGCAGGGAGGACTGAGAATTACTCCTGACAAGCATGTGTGAAGCCAGCTGTTTTCGTTCTTATTTATTTATTGAATTTATATACCGTCCCATACCTGGAAGTCTCAAGGCGGTTCACAAAAAGATCACAATATATAAAATCAGAATAAAAACAATAACCCAATAATGCACACCCCCCCGCAAAAAAGAGCCACATTTTAAAAGGGTATAGGATGTTGATCAGGTCAACCAAAGGCCTGGTTAAAAAGGAACGTTTTTGCCTGACACCTAAAGCTGTATAATGAAGGCGCCAGGCGAACTTCCACAGACAGGGAGCCACTGCAGAGAAGGCCCTGCTCTTGTGTTGCCACCCTCCAGACCTCTTAAGGAGGAGGCACAGAAAGGAGGGCCTCAGAAGATAAACTCAGGGTCCGGGTAGGTTCATATGGAAAGAGGCGGTCCTAGAGTTCCCAAGTTCTGCTTGCCCAGCCCTCCACCGTCTATCAGCAGAAAAATTCCAGTAGCCCTTTTCTGCACGCCAGATATCTGTGTTGGAGAACTGACCTTGCAAAAGTGCTGTCATATTTCAATCAATCCTCCCCCCCATTTGCCCCGGTGTTGGTCCTGATGGGATAAGGCAGGCTCAGAAATTTCAGAACCATGGAGCGCTCCGACTGAGCAAGTTGCTCCAACAAAGGCCTCTGCTTGTCCCACCTCCTGTCTGTCTGTCAGGCTCCACAATCCTTGGCTCCCAGGCCTCCCGCCCCTGTACTTCTTACGCTGCCACACCAGTGAGATGCTGTGGGAGGCATCTGCTTCCCCAAGATCAGAGGAAGGTGCCCACGAGAGTCCTGGTTTTCCCCTGGCAGTGTGGGAGATGGTTCTGTGGACTCCTGTCTGTCCGCTCCAGGCTCTGTGACCTCCTGATCTCCAAGAGCCTCAGCCTGATCCTTGGCCGGTGACTACAGCCTCTGACTCTGTGTCCTGCTTGCTGCTGGACTCTGGACTCGCGACACCATCCCATGTGCCCACTGCGCCCTCTCTTGATGAGTGACAACCTTGGTTAGTGACTCCACAGCGGGAGGCATCTAGGGCAAAGGGGGCACCTTTAGCCCTGGCATGTGAGCAGGATGCTGCCTTCCCCAGAATTGTTACAATATCTGCTCACTGCCAGGATCTTCAAAAAGCAAACACCCTGTACTCTCGGCTGCTGATTTTGTGTTCCACAGTGCAGTCATTTGTGTTTGTGTTCCCTCTTGCATGCTGATACCTCATCCCCTTTCCCACTGCTGTGTGGTCCCAAGTCCTTCACCTTGTTGCCATCTTCCAGTCTCCCACGACAGAACTTGTGTTGCTCAACAGTTTTGAATCTTGTATGCAGAGGTTCCTTTTTAACAAAGGGCAGAAATAATAATCATTTATTATTTGTACCAAGGGGACGCGGGTGGCACTGTGGGTAAAAGCCTCAGCGCCTAGGGCTTGCCGATCGAAAGGTCGGCGGTTCGAATCCCCGTGGCGGGGTGCGCTCCCGTTGCTCGGTCCCAGCGCCTGCCAACCTAGCAGTTCGAAAGCACCCTCAGGTGCAAGTAGATAAATAGGGACCGCTTACAAGCGGGAAGGTAAACGGCGTTTCCGTGTGCGGCTCTGGCTCGCCAGAGCAGCGATGTCACGCTGGCCACGTGACCCGGAAGTGTCTGCGGACAGCGCTGGCCCCCGGCCTCTTGAGTGAGATGGGCTCACAACCCTAGAGTCTGTCAAGACTGGCCCGTACGGGCAGGGGTACCTTTTCCTTTATTATTTGTACCCCGCCCATCTGGCTGGGTTTCCCCAGCCACTCTGGGCGGCTTCCAACAAAAATATTCATCAAAATGTCAGACTTTAAAAACTTCACTGAACAGGGCTGCCTTCAGACGTTATCTAAATGTCAGGTAGTTGTTTATCTCTTTGACATCTGGTGGGAGGGCATTCCACAGGGCGGGTGCCACCACCGAGAAGGCCCTCTGTCTGGTTCCCGGTAGCTTTGCTTCTCGCAGTGAGGGAACCACCAGAAAGCCCTCAGCACTGGACCTCAGTGTCCGGGCAGAACAATGGGGGTGGAGATGCTCCTTCAGGTACACTGGGCCAAGGCCGTTTAGGGCTTTAAAGGTCAACACAGAAAGGTCTGCTGTTGTTGTTGTTGTTGTTGTTTGCTCAAAGAGCAACAGAGCTGGGTCTTCCCCATCATGTTAAAGTCAGTTTTTCTTCCTAACGCCCAAGTGAAATGCCAGCTGTCATGACAAGTGGCAGGAACACAAGAAAGGCCTTCTGGACCACGCCAATGGCCCACCAAGTCCAGCCTCCTGTTATCAGGAGTGCATACAGGAGCCAGGCTCTGTAACCAATAGGACTTTGCAGGACTGGGGCCTTCCTAAGTTTGTTCTGAAGAGGCAAGGTGAAGCCACACAGGTGAGGCTGATTGGTAACTCACAGCACCTGGTGGCAAGAGCTGGGAAGGGATATAAGGTCAGCATTTCCCTTCGGCTCTTTGCCACAGCAACACGCTTCCTGCCATGCGCATTCTGAGCTGAGCAGCAGAGCTACTGTTGGAAGAGCAGAAACGGCTTGAGGATCTGAGAAAGCAGAAGTACATTCCCCAGTCTTTGGAGAATTCAGTTGGTATCTCTTCATCATAGGTGTCCATCTTTGGGGCCAGGGGGAACCTTTGCAAACCAGAGGAACTGTGGTGGATGCCACGTGTGAGTTGCAGCCACGCCCTCCACAGATCTAACCCGAACCCTAACCCCTGCCAAAAAATCTCCCCCCGCTATGTGAGTAAAGTTGGCAAAAAGAGATTTCTCTTGGCTAAAGTAGCTCATGTGTTTGTTTACTGAGATGCCAGGACAAGAAAATTGGTGCGATTGCGCCTGGGGACTGGAGGGTGTTCTGCGCACATTGACACATTTAGACCATGTTGGCTGGGGCTGAGAGTGCCAGCTTCTGAATCAGTGAAAGCTGGTAAATGAGTTGTGGATGGGACTGACCTTGGTGCCTGATAAGAAGGTGTCATTTTGATGAGGAGGAGGAGATTTCTTCCAGCTCCCTCGGGATGGCCTGATAAGCGCCGTGCACGAGATCCATCGCTGGAAATAAATGTGGTGTGAGATCACTGGCCTGGATAGCTTTGCTGGGAAGTGGAGCAGAGGACAGGTGTCCCACAAGCCATGTGCCTTGCTGCTGAACATGTGAGCGGAATCGCATTTGCACATGCATGTAACTGCTTGATGTTGCAGGCCCCAGGGGGTTTGCTTGCAGGTGGGAGCAAGCCGTGAGGATTGCCTGACCTTGAGTTGACACCTCTTTATGACTTTCGTCTCACTGGGCTAATTTCATTGGACTGTGAATGCCTCGACACTAAGGGCGTTGAAGAAATAACGCAATCCCTTTTAAAACTGGTGTATCTGAAAATAAAGGGCTGTTAACATCATTGCTGCGCCCAAGGCATTTTTCCTCTCTTTTATGGACTTAAATTTCTATACCACTTAATTACAATCATCTCTAAGTGGTATAGTTTAGATTTAGGTCAGGGGTGTCCAAACTTTTTTCAAAGAGGGCCAGATTTGATGAAGTGAACGTGTGTGTTGACCTTTTTTAAGGATTAAAGTTGTTCAGCTTTTTTAAGGATTTTACCCCAGGAAATAAACTGCCACAGGGGCTGGATTAAACCAACCAGCGGGCCGGATTAGAACCCCGAAATGGACTTTGGACATGCCTGATTTAGGTAGTGGCTTCTCTCTCTCTCTCCCTCCCTCTCCCCCCCCCCAATCTATCTATCTATTGGGAGACATTCTGCACAGAAACATGTTTGTACCTTTAAGAACAGTTTTCTTAAACATCTTGAAAGAGTATTTCGACCATAACCTGCACAAAGATACCAAAATCAATGTAGTTTGGGATGCTAGTAAAGCAGTCCTTAGAGGCTTCCTGATTCAACAAAACAAATATAGAAAGAATTTGAGAGAGGCAAAGAAGGAAGAACTAGTTAAGCAACTAAAAGAAGTAGAGGAAAAACTAACAATAAATCCTGGGGATGAGAGGACTAAACAACTCAGTAAACTACTACAAACCCAATACTCAACATTGCTGAACCAGGAAATAGAGTGGGGAATAAAAACGATGAAACAAAAGTACTTTGAATCGGCAAATAAGACTGGTAAGTTGCTAGCGTGGCAACTGAGGAAAAAGAAAAAACAAAAGGTGATTAATAAAATTAAATTTGAAGATCAAACAATAGAGGACCCCAGTGAGATAAAGGGAAAATTTCTCCAATACTATGAAAGCCTATACAAAAAGAAGGAGGACGAAGACATAATTGAGATAGGAAGATATTTGGAAAAGAATAGAGGAGAACAACTGTCAGACGAAGAAAAAGCATCTC